GTGCCATCAATGAGACAATCACTCACTCTTTGCGTCCATTGTTTGCAGTGAATGTGAAGACACTGAAGGAGCAGTCCTTCCGACTGATGATACGCCTGCCATACCTGCGAGGAATGGCAGCCAAACAGCTGTCAGACGTGGACCACACCATCTCCGAGCAGATCCGCGCCATCTTTGGTTCGCATGAATTCATGACACGATTGCCGACAACTGGTCTTCAATCGGACCAAATAGTGGCCCATTTGGACGAATACGCGCACATCGGACACATCGACTGGAGGAGGGGTCGCGCCTCAGGTCTGCCCCCCTTTCCACTCGTATGCTATACTAACGGGTGTTGTGTTTGACTGAAGGGACGGTCTATTGTGACGCCAACTCGGAGCTGACGGAACTGATGACTCGCGTGTACTCGCAGACGGCGTACACCAATCCCTTACATCCGGATGTCTTTCCCGGAGTCAACAAAATGGAGGCCGAAATCGTGCGAATGGTTTGCAACCTCTTCAGCGGCGACGCCGACAGCTGCGGAACCCTTACGTGCGGCGGAACGGAGTCTATAATACTGGCGGTGAAGGCGGCGCGCGATTATGGGCGACATCACAGAGGTATCACTCGGGCGGAAGTGGTGGCGCCCGTCACAGCACACGCGGCCTTCCAGAAGGCGACGCAAGTAATGCATGTTTTTATGGTTTTTTATTTATATAATTAATACAAGAGATGAGAGATATAAGAGTGGAAAGTGTTTAACCAAAAGTCCAAATCAAAACTAAACACTATTTGTATTGATTGGCGACACAGCTGTTGGGCATTCGGGTCAAGATGATTGACGTCCACAAAGACACCTACAAAGTGAACCTCAAAGCCATGCGAAGTGCCATCACTAGCAACACAGTGCTGTTGGTTGGATCCGCTTGTAATTACCCGCACGGTATCATCGATGACATCCAAGACATCGCCAAAGTATGTCATCAACTCATTCACCACTCATTCAACGATTCATTTGAATGTCATTTGTCTTGCAGTTGGGCCTCAAGTACTCGATCCCCGTTCACGTGGACTGTTGTTTGGGTGGCTTTTTGGTGCCATTCATGCGATCGGCCGGTTATCCCATTCCTGCCGTTGACTTCTCCGTGCCGGGAGTGACCAGTATTTCGGCGGACACTCATAAGTACGGTTACGCTCCCAAAGGGTCGTCGGTTATCATGTATAGCAATAAGAAGTACCGAAGACATCAGTTCTCAGTGCAGACGGACTGGCCGGGAGGCATATACGCCACGCCCACTCTGGCCGGCAGTCGTTGCGGCGCTAATATAGCCAACTGTTGGGCCACTCTTTTGCACTTTGGTTTCGACGGTTACGTCGAGTCCACCAAAAAGATTATGAAAACTCAACAATACTTGAAGGCAGAGATGGCTAAAGTGGACGGCATTCAGATTATAGGCGATCCACTCATGTCTGTCATCGCCGTTAGGTCCGATCGGTTCAACATCTTTAGGCTCAGGTTTGGACAACCATTCACTCAAATGAACTCAAATGTGTTAAAGTGTTTGTACTTCTAATCACTACATATAGCGATAAGATGTCTGAAATGGGTTGGAGTCTAAATCCGCTGCAATTCCCGTCTGCGGTGCACATCTGTCTGACTCTAATGCACGCACAGACCGGTGTCGCCGACGCCTTCCTCTCAGACTTCAAGACTGTTGTCAATGAGTGTCTGAAGACTCCGACAGAAACAGGCGAAGGTCTGGGCGTTGTCTATGGTATGGCTCAGACTCTGCCCGACCGCTCACTGGTCACAGACATAGCCTCTCACTATATCGACGGCATATACACCACTTGGTCTCAAACTATCCGACAGAAACAGGCGAAGGTCTGGGCGTTGTCTATGGTATGGCTCAGACTCTGCCCGACCGCTCACTGGTCACAGACATAGCCTCTCACTATATCGACGGCATATACACCACTTGGTCTCAAACTAATGACAAATAAAGTTTCCGATTCTCTGATGCCATTCCTCTCTATTATAACGTAGTTTTGATACAATTTATGATAATTTTTAAATATATTTAGTTTTTATATTTATTAGGACTTAAAATACCGGTAATTATGAATTGAAATACAATGCAATGTTTCATAAATTTAAACATTTTCTATTTAATTATAGTTTGACTAAAATTTATAAAATGATAAAAAGTATAAAATATTAATTTCAGTGAATGATAACATGTGACAATCATGCTTATTATAATCATACCTGTTTTGCTTTATAGTTTAGGAATCGTTTATATTTTATTGTTTTGTGAATAAAACAGAATATTCTCATAAGAATTATATTCGAAAGGAACTCAAGAATTATATGCTTTTGTTTTGTTTGAACTTAAATTGTTTGCAAGAAAACAATGAAAATATGATTTCAGTACAAAAATAACTTAATTGTATGTCTCTTAAGAAAAGTGTTCTCTAATTTCATACAATGTTAAACTATTTGATACAACATATCGTTTGTAATTTGGTAAACAATTTATACTTCATTCACACTTTTGGAGAATACGTTCAATTTTCTGTACATTGGCTTTTGAGCACCTTTTTTGTACGGAACCGGATAACTGTGTGATAGAGAAACAAATTGGTATATTACACACTATAACAAAGTTATTTATATTACAGTATATGACATTTTATATGCAATTTATAGTGTATTATCCAATAAAATAAATGAATTATATATGAATTGAATGATAGTGTCAAAGACTTACTAATACGGCTGTGGACACGACGGTTGGTGTCTGTAGTGATCCATTGCCTGTTGTCGGCCTAACAGTACCCCTAATATTAATCCCTTATAAAACTTCTTTTCGCCGAACGTCTCGATAGGAACTGATATTAAGGCCAATATTTGAAACAAAACAACGATTAAAATGTTTAACTTTTTAATTTTCATTTTTCACAAATACAAAGTATATCCAAACATTTATCAATATTTTGCGAAATATGCTTATTCTCTGCGATCAATGAGACAAACTTTTATACAATCAATTCATACCATTTTCATCAGTCATATGCAGTGAATCCTTTTTAACACTTCATTTGTCACATAAATGGTTATTATATTTTTATAATGATTTCACTCATAGTTTTTGATCGCATTATAGGTCAGAATAAGTGATATTGAAATGAATGGCTTGTAATCAAAGAGAAAATTGGTTGATGTCGTGAACCAAACGATTTATTTATTGAAATTCAAAACAGAGAAAACTCGAAATTGAATTTGCATTCAGTTTTATAGGCTATTCGCAGTCATATAAAAGTTTTCAACAAATATCAAAATGTTAAATTTAAATTAAAAATTAATGAACATTTGGGTATTAATTCTTATTTTTTATGGAATTCGTTTTCTAAAATGTTTATATCCTGATAAGTTAATGTCAAGAATTGTATGTAATTGTAATACTGTGTGAGATGTCTTGTTTTACTCTCATTTTTCCGATTCAACCCTTTATTTCATTTGAGAGCTTATGCATGGATTCTGTAGGTCTGCCTAATGTTATGTAATGTATGGTTTGGTTGAGTGCCAGTGTTTGCATCAAACCTTATTATAAATCAAATTTATATTTAGAATCCTTGAACTTCATTATAATAACCCATTTTATGATTTTAATAATCATTATATAAAGTGTTAATGTATGGTTTGGTTGAGTGCCAGTGTTTGCATCAAACCTTATTATAAATCAAATTTATATTTAGAATCCTTGAACTTCATTATAATAACCCATTTTATGATTTTAATAATCATTATATAAAGTGTGTTGAGTTCAATACCTGTCCGTTAATCCACTTATTCTTATTGTTTCTACATTTATATTTAGTTTGCTTTCATTAATAATACAAATAAGTTATTACCAATGACTATTACCGTAAATCATTTAGAAAATACATTTCATTTTTATCTAAACGAGAATTAGTGATTATATGGTTAGACAATCATATTTTAATACTATTCTATAATTTCTTTAATATAATCATTAAATTTCTATTTTTAATTTTTTTTATGAATTCTATCTGTTTATTGAATCGACAATTTTGTCACTTAACACAATACTGTAGTGGAAAAGATATTTAAATTGTCGACTCATTTGTATTCATTATAATCTTATTTGAAAAGACAATCACTCTTTGTTTTCATACATTTTAGCCACAGTTTCATTCATTTACGTAACATTCGTATGATTTCACACAAAGTTTGCCAAATTGTCATTTACTGTACAACTTTGAATTGAATTGTATTGAAAACGCAAAAGTACTTATAAACAGAATATGACCTTGTTTACTCGCAGAATTATTTTCAAAATTACTTTAACCTTTTTGTCATTATAAATGTTTGATAAGATTATTGTAGTTTTTAATTCAAAAAGTTATGTCAAAATATAACTCATTTATTAGTGTTTTCTAATGGATTCAATTTTTAAACTGTTCTTGATACAGTATGAGTGCAAAAGAAATTATTTTACAACAATTTCTTAACTATTGTTTGAATGAGAAATAGATTTGTAACTAAATTATGTTTTCATGTCTCTCACAAACACTGGAAACCGGAATACAAAATAAACTAAAACTAAAATTACTGTCAAATTCGTGACAAGTTTTTCTGACAGACAATACAGTCATTTGATGACAGAATTACAGCAAACATTTGCAAAATATATAATGAAGTGGTTTTCAATGGTAGACGAAGTGTAAGAAAAGTATTTTAAGTATTCAATGAAATTGTGAATTGAATTCAATTTTCACTTCCAATACATTGTACGGAA